TAGGGTTTAGGGTTTGGGGTGATGGGTTTCGGGTTTGGGGACCATCCAAGCGAGAAGCACACCAAGATGCTCAACAGAGAAATAATATCAACTACAATTCCAAGCGTTGAGCAATTTGCAGCCGCATGATAAGTCTCTAGACCCTACCCACCCACACTTGCGCAACTATAAAGCCATAAGACGCACGGCTGGCCGGAAAGGTCTCAGAAGTCCCAAGAATTATGCAGGGGTTTCAATAATCAGAATGGAGTTTTGGGGTACACAAAATCATAATTATGGGAAGGAACCGGAAGGAAGGGTACTGGTAATAAAACAGACATCTATAGTAATCGAAGAGCCTGCGGACGATGCTACGAAGTCTCCCCTGCCCTGCCTGGGATCGGGTCGTAGGAGACTGAGGGAACGATGCCGTTGCATCTTAACCTGAGGAATCTTTGTGGCTTGGGGTTTAGGATTGAGGGTTGAGGGATTAGGGTTTAGGGTTGAGGGTTTAGGGTTTAGGGTTTAGGGTTGAGGGTTTAGGGTTGAGGGCTTAGGGTTAGGGCTCAGGACGTTTGGCTTTGGTGGCGTGATTCAGCAAGGGTGACATGGCCACGAGAGCGGCTGTCAACTTCCACAAGCAAACCTGCCTCTTGTGAATGGACTATCTCTCGCAGGGAACCTGCATGCCAACTCTCACACTGCAGAATGATTTGCTAGAAGCTACAGTAGGTAATATGTTGAATGCATTTGATCTAATTCAGCAGCAGCAGCAGTATTCAGACTGGCTATGCCAAGCAACGAAGCGCATCGGACATACACTTAACATGGGTACGTAGTGGCATGCAGCACACAGATCCTACCTGCGGAAACAAAGGTCGACCGATGAGTAATCAGCCCTGAAGATCAAGCCTCCAAAACCGTTCCGAACTTGCACAAAAACATGACTCTCACATGTTCAAAGTAGCAGGATGGACCATCAAAACCTGTTCGAACCGACCACATCAAAAAGCCATATCTAAGCTTACTGACGAAACTGTAAACCCCAAAGCAAAAAGACCTCCCAAAGCCAAACAAGAACTCACAAGCCCGAAACCTTCTGCACCCTCATAGAAACGCAGAGCCACTCAAAAGCCTCAAACCCGAGAAGGGTGTTTAGGGTGTAGGGTTCAGGGTTTAGCGTACCCCCCCAAAAGAAAAACGCAGAGCCAGGCGGCCAGGTGCTGAAGGCAGTTTGGAAGATGGTCGAATCGGCCACGCTGCTGTCCTCGGCGCAACAACTCGAGGTTTAGGGTTTAGGGTTTAAAGCTTTCGGGTTTAGGGTTTAGAGCTTTCGGGTTTAGGGCTTACGGTTTAGAGCTTTCGGGTTTAGGGTTTAGGGTTTAAAGCGTTGGGGTTCAGGGTATAGGGCTTTGGGTTTAGAGCTTTAGGGTTTAGGGTTTAAGGTTTAGGGTTTCAGGCTTAGGGCTTAGGGTGTTGGGTCAGGTGTAGGCCAAGAGCGCCGTAGATTTGGGCTCGTTCTCCGGGGCTAGGGCTGAATCTTGTGGGCCTAAATCCCACATCCCCGAACGCTAATCCCTGAAACCCCGAAGCCGTAAACTTCTTAGACCCGAAACCCTGAACTTGATAGACCACAAACCTTGAACCTTAAACCTGAATCCCCAAACCCTAAACCAAAACTGCTCAAAATTCAACCTGGACCGTAAATTACCCAAGTTTTCGGGCTCCGTATTACCTTCAACCCTTGCCCTAGATCACCTACGTTTTTTCGGGTTCCTTAATTTTGCTTTCTTTACACAATCCTTAGAAGGGTAGGTTGTTCCTATGCACCCTTAGAACCAAAACAAAGGCAGTTGTGTCATAATCCCTTCAATTGTTTATGGTAAAACAAAAAACAAAAAATAGTTTCAGAGAGCACCAAACCCTAAACCCTAAACCCTAAACCCTAAACCCTAAACCCTAAACCCTAAACCCAAAGGGTTTAGGGTTTAGGGTGGAAGCCCCCGGAGGTCTCGTGAGGTCCCCGCCGGATCCGAGGTGACCGCGTTCTGCAGAGATGTGAGGGTCTGAGGCGGCACGTTTCTAGAGGGTTTAGGGTTTAGGGTTTAGGGTTTAGGGTTTAGGGTTTAGGGTTTAGGGTTTAGGGTTAGGTCTTTGGGACGTTTGGGATTTCAGGTTTAGGGTCCGGGTTCATGGCTTTTGGGTGTTGGAACTAGGGTTGCGGATTTAGGGTTTGAGATTTAAGCTATTTGGATTGAAGTTCAGGGCTCGGGATTTAGGGTTGTGGGGTCCAGGGTTGACGGTTGATGGCTTTGGGTGTACTGTTTGGAGTTCGGGCTTCAGGGTTTAGGGTTTACGATTTGG